GCGATGATTTTAGAGAAGCGGCTAATAAACTGCGTTTATGACAGACTTGACTTAAGAAGCATATTAAAAGACTGTCAAAATTTTTTAAGAACTTTTGAAACGATTACCTAGTCAAATGAATACTCTTCAAAAAGCTTTGACTTTGTCACGAGAAGAGTGTGGCGAAAACACCAATCAACACTGATACAGCAACTCATAGATTATTCCGTTTTTTGAGAAAATTATACTTTAAGGACTAATTTACATTCGACCACATCCTCGAATTTCGTTCTTATGAACTAAACAATTTTTTACTTTTTTAATTCTACAGAATTTTCGCTTTAATTTGGTATCCATTACGTTATTCTACATTGCACTGATTTTTTAATTTTTGGACTTTATCAAATCATTGAAACTACAATGTCCTTAAAAAAATCTCATGGCAGAAAGAACAACTAAAATCGCACTATATTTGGCCCATAGTTTCGTGAGTATATTGATTGCTTTGTATTTAGATTTTTTTTTTTAATCATAAAAACTTATCAGATTTTGAGAAAAGTTAGATTTAGCCACCCTTAGCGCGGAGTCTATACAGAAATCCTTCACAGGCTGCACGAATATGGTCTGGTGATATTGTGCCCCAGTGGCGGCGAACAGCAATCTTCAGCGCGTTACATTTCTCATATTTTTTAGTGAATACTTTGGCCTCGAGAATGGACCATATAGACAAATTCATTGCGTTTAAGTCCGGTGAATATGGTGACTATCGTTGCGAAGAAATGAAGCTGGGAAGTTTTTTTTTTCTAAAAAAAACGTTGGATTACACAAACTTTGTGCGATGGTGTTTAGTCTTATAGAAACGTAGAATGATTTCTACCGAATCGTTTTCGTTAAAATATTTTCACGATAGATTTGTTTATTTTACTTTAAAGTAGACGATATTCGTGCAAGATGTGAGGCATTCCCCTGATGAAGGCTATATCGAACAGTAAACAACTTTTATTAAAATTTGACTAATTTTTTTAATGAACTGATTTTTTTATATAAAAAAAAACTAGACAAAATTTTAATTTGTAACACTTCGAGCGCCTTCCCCTGTATTTAGTATAGGTAAGTAGATGTTGAGTGACTAACTAACCAATACTTCCACTGAAGGAATACAATAAAAGTAAAACACACGCACGCAAATTTGAGTTAAATGTATAAACATAAATTTATTTAAATTTGTTGGTTTTATTTTTTTTAATACATACATATGTATTAACTTTTTTTAAATACTTATAATCTAGTTTTAGTTTGCAGTTTTTTCACCGAAATAATTAATTGAAAAACACTCAGGTTTGTCCTTTTCTTAGAGTAATTTTATGATTATGTTCTTTTTATTTCTTGAAGGCATTTTTTATACAAAACAAAAATTATCCAAACAAAGTTGTCACCCTAATTTTTTTGCAAATATTACAAATATTCAAGCACACAAAAATTTAACAACCATTATTTTTAATTGGGCTGTAGAGAATAAATTAGTTAAAGTATGTAGTATAGCGCGGAGTAATTTGTTCGGAGCAAGGAAAGTGTATAGGAAATTCAAATTATACGATTAATTCTAAGCAAAAATGGTGAACAAACTATAACCACAAATTACATTTGACCCTCCCAATTTGCAAACGAAACAGCAGTATATTGTATGAAGAAAACAGAAAATTTTGTAAATGAAAAATTAATTTCGTTCAGAAAAAATTTAAATATTGATTTTTCTTTTAAAAATTGGGAAGGTCAAATTTAATTTTTGGCATATAGTTTGTTCACCAGTTTTGCTTAGAATCGAACGGAGAATTCGAATATGCCTTACAATTTTTCGAAATTGAGTTAACGCGCCCTAATGTAGTAGTTTAAATGAAGACCCAAATGTTTTTTTTTTATTAATTTAACTTCATGGAAAAGCCCGTAAAATTTTTAAACACTCTTGAAATAATTCACTAAATTTTGGTCACCATTTGTTTGTGTTGAATATAGTTGCCCCAAATGAAAAAAAAGTTACAACAAAATAAAAAATTAAATAAATCTGCTTAGAATTCTAAATACGTCCACAACACCAAAAGCCAACGTAACAAACTGATTTAACACAAACCGCGCTGATTTAAAGCTCCAAAACACTGGCTAACATCAATGAGCACGAGTGAGCAATGCTCACTTTGTGCCTACAAACGTTTGCGTTATGCTCTTCATGTCATAACTGTACTTGTTGTACGAACATTTGAGGGAGAGTGAGAGCGAGTTAGCAACAATGCAACAATGCAAGCAAGANACACTCTCGAAATAATTCACAAAATTTTGGTCACCATTTTTTTTTGTGTTGAATATAGTTGCCCTAAATGAAAAAAAAGTTACAAAAAAATAAAAAAATTAAATAAATCTGCTTAGAATTCTAAATACGTCCACACAACCAAAAGCCAACGTAACAAACTGATTTAACACAAATCGCGCTGACTTAAAGCTCCAAAACACTGGCTAACATCAATGAGCACGAGTGAGCAATGCTCACTTTGTGCCTACAAGCGTTTGCGTTATGCTCTTCATGTCATAACTGTACTTGTTGTACGAACAATTGAGGGAGAGTGAGAGCGAGTTAGCAACAATGCAACAATGCAAGCAAGACCTTCGGAACCGGCACACAGCACTCGCTGGCGTTAGCTGCTGCCAAAGAGCTGTGGACTCCTTCTACACGCCAAAACCAATTTCACTTTCATACAGAGTCGCGAAAGTATTTCGTTTTTCTCCACATATTAAATGCTTAATTTTTTCTTATTTTTTTATTCTCATCAAGATCATTTCTGCCGGTATGCGCTCTACTCACTTCAGCTTGGCATCTCTGACAGCATGCTCTCATGAAGTTGTCGCAGACTGGTGGTGGTATGGTTGGTTTTTTTTTGTTTTTGCAGCAACACCTCTGATCTGACGCCGTCGCTCTGTTACTTTTGGCTTTTACTGCTGCCAATTGCTATTTTAGTTTTCTGTTTTCTTTTAGCCATCCAGTTGAGTCGTCTTCTTGCCGCTTGCTTTGTTGGTTTTTGTAGTTGGAGCATCACAATATCCGTCACTGGGAAATGAATACTTGTATTGTATGCAACTACTGAGTGTTGCTGTTTTGGTAGTTTGATTTGTTTGTTTGTTTTTTCTTTCTTCTTCAGCTTCGTTTTCTTAAACTTTTTCTGGTTTTCGTTGTCATTGTTTGTATGTATGTTTTGTAATTTGGATTGTGTTTTTTGCGCCTAATTGTTGCTTTTTTCCCCTGTTTTATTATTTTGTTGTTGCATTTCTGTATTTGTTATTGTGCTGCTTGGCTTCAGTACTGTGCCGTAATATGTTGATTGTGCGGTAATTTTAGTTGCAGTTGTACTTACTTCACCGTTTGTTTTGGCAATTTTATTTCTTTGGTTTTGTGATCACTTTCGGTTTTGTATGAATGTGACGCTTTCCTTTGCTGTTGTAGTGGTGATGAATTTTTGCATAATGGTTTGCTTTTATTGCTTTGGCGGCTGCAGCGAGTAAATTTCAAGCTTGCTGGACTTTTCTATAGGGAAGTCCATTTTCATAGCATTCAGTTTTTTTAATTATTGAAATTTTTAGCTTCGATTTTTTCGGATTTGTGTCGACACATTTTAAAGTTTTCAGTGAATATTTTCTGGAGAAAAGTTTAGACCTTTTTCGGAGTTCTTTGTTGAGATATGATTATCTGGGATCTTTTAAAAATTTGTTTGCAGCTTTCGAAAAATATTTGGGACCTTGCTGGAGGGCTTTGGAACTTTTGGGATTTTCGCGATTTCTCGTGAACTCACAAAGTACAGCTGAGTATTAAATTTGCTTATAGTGAATATCTTTAAGGCCTGTTCGAGACTCCTTTTTTGTGATTTTTCAGCGTCTTGCGAAAGTGCATTTCAACCTCAACTTTTCTTATAATCAATTTTTAAATGACCTTTCGGGATTCTGCGTGTTTTATTTTTCGGCATACTTTGGGATTTTCGTAAACTTTCAGGTCCAACAGACATTTGAACCTCGACTTTGGCTCGAATTAATGTTTTAAAAGCTTCTTCGGTAAAATTCGTAATTTAGTCCTCGGAACTTTTCGGTATTTTGGGAATTTTTTATACAGTTTTAAGTTCAAAAGTGCGTTTAAACTTTAATATTGCTGATTACAAATACCTTAATAGAGTTTTGCGGTTTCCTCTTTCGGGATTTTTGGAATTCGGAATTTGTAAAATTTTAGGTCAAAATATACACTTCAACCTTAACATTGCTTATGATGAACCGAAGCTCAAAAGCTGAAAATAATAACTGTAAATGTACTATTTTAATACCTTTAATACAAAATTGGCCAAAATTATTATTATTTTAATTTTTCTTTTCAATTTCTAACAAAATATCTATTTTTTGGCTCCTCCTCGAAAAGTTCCTCCTAAGTGCAATTACAAGTAAAAAATCACTGCCGAGCTCAACTTTCAGCTTCTTTGTCGCCGCCACTCAGGCCTGCAGCGGTCAGTGGCAGAGCAACAATCAGCAGTCACATATCACCTGCAATGCAACTACAAACATATGTATTTGCTTTGCGATCTTCATCACAGCAATCTCGCTCAGAAATGGCAATAACGTCAGTGTGGTGGCACCGCTGGCAACGACAACTCTGCCGTTGACATATAAATATTTGTGATTGTGTACTTACGCTGTGTAGCAGCTGGTGAAGACGACAACTTGTTGCAGGGGTTGAGACTCGCCAGCGCCTGCAGCAAACCGCGCATCTCGTTGCCTTGTGAACCTTCGCCGCTGGTCGCACAACAAAATAGCCTACGCTACCACCAATGCACATTATTCGGCAACTTACCGCATTCACAGGCACACACACGCTTACATACTCACACAACCACAAAATGCCATTGCATATGGTTGTTAAAGAAGATGACGCTAACGTGCGCTGACTATGGCATTGTCGGGTTCGCAAAATTTTTGTATAAATTGCTGAAGTCTCAGTGTTGCATCGTCAGTACAGCATTTGATTTAGTTTAATAAACAACATCAATAGCAACACATAAGTGTAAAATATACAGAACTTTCCATCCTTCTATCCCCACTATTCACTATTTTTTTCACATAACCAAATTAAATCAAATCGAATACGCAAAAAATAAAATCAACCAATCACTCATACGCACCGTTGCACCGACAAAGGATTACCATACATATACATACGCTTATACGACGGTACGAGTGTGTGTGTGTGCGCGTGTACGTGTGCTAAAGGATTAAAATTTCAGCGGAAGCAGCAGCAGCAGCAGTCGTGTAAATAGCGCGTCGATCGTAAAGTGCGATAGGTGTACTTGCCGTTTCTCGTCGGTTTCTATAGAACGTTTCGTGTGTTTGTGTGCTCGTTTTACGCGCTCGTGTGTCGCAATGAAAGCGTTCATCTTATTATCCTGTGTAGCGTTGGCGGCTGCAAGGCCTGAAGCGGGTTATGCCTACAATAGGCCCGGCGGTGGTGGCGGCGCTGGTGGATTTGGCGGCGGCTCTGGCGGTTTCGGTGGTGGCGGCGGCGGCTTGGGAGGTGGACTTGGTGGCGGACTTGGCGGTGGACTAGGCGGCGGCGGAGGTTTTGGTGGTGGTTCTGGCGGTGGTGGCGGATTTGGCGGCGGTGGCGGCGGCTTTGGAGGAGGCTCACTTGGCGGCGGTGGTGGATTTGGTGGAGGTGCGTAAAAAAGTGAAAAAAGGAGATCGCTCCAAATACGCGATCTTTGGCTTAGCGAAGCATTTTGAGCAAAATCAAGTGTAGTATGTGCCACACGAAGATAATTTGATTTGTGATTCATTTATGACTTATCTGAACAAATCAAGTGCATAGAAGACCAAAAATTCAAACGAATCCGAATTTTTTCTAATCGCAGTTTGACTATAAATTTATACATAAAAATACTTTGCTTAATACCCCTTGTTCGAGTATCTCCGAAGATGATCGAATCGAAATTTTCAAACAAAAAGCAGGCACCGACAATAAAATTTTTACTATGTTTATGATTTAGCTTTCTATCAATGAACATTTTTCTGATCAAAATTTTTTCGATCAAGGATAACCGTTATTTTTTATTCATATCGTGACTTAGTCGCCAAATATGCGTCAAGGCACCGAAAATAATTTTAAAATATCAAGATTTTTATTTTTAAATTGTTGACAAATTGTTATTTTTAATTTTTTTTTTCTTGAAATCAATAATATTCCTTAAATTTGGGATTTTTATTTTCTCCTTCAAAAAATATTCGTTAATTTAGGATTTTTATTTTTTCGATCAACTTTAATCGCTCTAATGGAGGCAGAATTTTTATGACGGTTTTAACTCCTTTATGATCTATAAAATTTAATTTTAAAATAACGGTTTAATAACGGATAAGCGAAGAAATGAAAATCATAAAATAAGGATTAACTTTAATCGCAAAAATATTAATCCAATTTTAGCGGTTAAATTATGATTTTTATTATATATACATATAGTAACCGGTATGATTCTTGAACACCAAGATCTTTTTTAATTTTCTCAAAAAAACCCCTTTTCAATATCTCCGGGCGATATCAAAAGCTGCTTGTTAAAAGCGCAGCGCGGATTTCTATTTTCCATTTAAATTACATAGACAACCATTTTTTTCAACTTTGGAAAATTAGAAAATTAGACGCCCTACAAAAAACTTCTCATAGAATATTTTGATAAACCTACTGGTTTAACGGTTATTAAAGTTTAAAGTTAAATTTATGCCAGTATTACAGTTTTTCTCCTATTTGAGGAAAAGTAATTACGAATTTCCAATAAAATTTCTGCACCAAAAAAAACTTAAAATAAAAAAAATTTCGCTTACGTTTTTGTCTGGCGGTTAAGGCTCGATAATTCTCAGATAAACTTAGTCATTATAATCGAGATACATATTTTTTTGGTTAAAAAAAAATTATTGAAATTAAAATCTAAGAATAACAACTGAATAAGATAAACAAATTTTGTCCATTTTTAATGGCTAAATTATGGTTTTTATTTAAATATCATAGTCAAAACGCTCCTGAGTAAACGAGTCATGATTTACTTAATTTATGATGCTCTAATTTTTACTTAACTATTTGGCTAAGAAGTTTGAGAAACTGCAATCGCGTATTAATTAATTTAAAAGTTATCGAAATGTAATCACCACCCTTATCTTAACCGTGCAGGCCTCCACAAATAATACATTCAGTTTTTTAACTGTTCCTACATTTCACTTTCTCTAATTCTCCCAGGTTCCCTTGGCGGATTCGGAGGCGGCGGTGGCGGCGGTGGTGGCGGCACCACACTTGTGCAGAAACACATTTACGTGCACGTTCCACCACCAGAGCAGGAAGACGTGCGTCCACGTCCCAACATTCCCATCGGACAGGCGCAGAAGCATTACAAGATCATCTTTATTAAGGCGCCATCTCCACCCAGTTATCAGGCACCAGTCATACCACTCCAACCGCAAAACGAAGAGAAGACACTCGTCTATGTGTTAGTCAAGAAGCCCGAAGATCAACAGGATATTGTCATACCAACACCTGCACCCACACAGCCCTCCAAACCCGAAGTGTACTTCATCAAGTACAAGACCCAGAAGGAAGGCGGCGGCGGCGGCGGTGGTGGTGCCATCGGTGGTGGCGGACTTGGCGGCGGCGGCGGTGGTGGACTGGGCGGTGGTCTTGGCGGTGGTCTTGGTGGTGGAATCGGTGGTGGTGGTCTTGGCGGTGGTGGCCTTGGCGGCGGCATCGGTGGTGGTGATGGCGGTTACTCTGGTGGCGGCGGTGGTGGTGGTGGTGACATCTCGGCGCCATCCTCCAACTACGGACCACCTGGCAAGTCTGGACCCTACTAAACGACGTAGACGTAAGGCGACAGCGTTAATTGAAATTGTGCAACAGAAGGAATGTAACAACAACAAAATCTATAGGAAAATTTACGACGGAATTCGCAGAAGGACCAAAAGAAATCGCTGCTGGGCGAAATTCGACAACTACGCGACGTTTATAGCTAAAGCTGCCGGCTAGTCTTGTTACCCGATAATATACTCGTTATTTGTTGTTATTTTATACATATATTTTTTTTTTTTACTTTTGGTTTGGACATTCGACCTAACGAAAAACGCGAAGCAGATGACGAAACCGAAAGAGAAACTGAACAAATGAACAAAACAAAATGAAAATTGCATAAAATGCCGAAAATGCTGTGACTAACCCATAAGCCAGGTCAGTGACCAACTGCTTGGAAAATAAAAGAAAAAAAAAACGAACCTTGACTTTGACACATTCTGCGCAGCAAAGGAACACACACACATTCCAAAAGGACAATCCCCCACCTTTTAAGTGCGGCACGCGCTCGCAGGTACCTACTTTGCCTACTTCGTGGCGCTGCGCTCAACTGCGACTCCGTGTAACTGCCCAACTCCAAGGAAGCTGCGCGCAAGTGTCAAATGTCTGCGGTAAAAGTAACCTTGCCCATCATCCACATTACCAAACAACCAAAACTCATCCTCATCGCTCTACGATACTCTACTCTACAACTCTACTCTCTCTATGCTACTCAGTCACTCACTATATGTATACCACGCGCGCCATCTCTACAATTTGTACTGTATCTTGTTCTCTAAGATCACTTTTGTGCGTGTTATCTTTTGTATATAAGCCATTTCCCTGTATATCTACATACATACATATGTATTGATATTTTGTTGTAAATGCGTATATAATAAATAATTTGCTAGTTATAAGTGCGATGCGTTGATTAAGATAAATAATAACCCTCATAAGACCCACATGAAGCGCTGTTTATACATATTTACTTGCTCGTGTTTGTATGTACATAAATATGTATGAACATTGATAGGCGCAAGCCCATAACATTAATTATTTACATGCGATATATGTATTAATTTTTAAGTATTTGTATTATGCGCAGTATAAAAAAACAACGGTGACAAAATTTAAAAAAAAAAACAAACTTGATTTTTTTCAAAACATTATCTTAGTGGAAGTAGTTGTGCAGCTTAGAAGATTGAAATGTTCATAGCAAATAAATACTTTTTTTTAATTTCGACAAAAAATGCGACTGGTCCGGGGTGACTCCGGGATCACTTGCAAAGGGAATATACCACTTTGTTCGAGCATGTCTTAGCCCAAGGATGGACACGCTTTTAACTCGCAAAGCAATCAAGGAGTTAGCAAGCGACATGTAAGTGGCAAAGTAGCTCTCGTGAGACAGGTGGAAGCAAAGGCATGTGTAATATCATGCATTCCCGCACCCACAAAGTTCATCGCACCAGCAGCTAAGGAGATACTAACAATCTGCAAAAAAAAAAAATCAGCATCTCTCAAAAACGAAAAGCTTTTCACAAACATTGTTGCCGTGTTACGAAGCAGTGTTGCCGTTTTGATACATATGTATCCAATTGGATACCTTTTTGCCTTAAATTTTGAGGGATACTTCGTTGTTCTCCTCAGCGTAAATTTGGAAATTTTTTTTATTTATGTACAAGCTATTATAACGTTTTTAACAGTTGGCTGCTCATCCTCCAAGCAAGAAATTTTCTTTTATGCTTGTCACTTTAGCTACATATACTAGTTAACTGCAATGCGAAAAAGTCAACTTTTACATCCTGAGCAACCCTTCTGTTAGCTTTCAAAGGAAATTGAGAACCATGCCGATGACTAATTTTCAACAATAACTTGACGGTACTTAAAATGACTTATAACTTAAAAATTTTCAGCTATATGTCGTTAAGCGAGAATTCAAACAAGCCGGAAATATAAATTTTTCTTGTAGGCGGAATTTATAGACAAATGCAAGTTTTTGAGAAATTTTTTAATTTCATAGATAGCTACCAATTCACCGGCTTGATTGAAAAACAATGCAACCATAATAGCAGGAAATAACAATTTACTGAACTAAATGTAGCAGGCCACAATTAATTTAAATTAGTATTATTTTGATAGATTAGGAAACAGTTTTTGCATGTATCATTTGTGGGAAATTAATCGCAGTAATAAACATTGAACATGCGGAAACTTTGGCCCGTAGTTTTAGGGTGTATTTTTCCATTCTAGGAAACAGATCTGGGAAACAAGAGCCCGTAGTTATAGTCAAAATGAAGTCGACACTACAGTTAGTTGCAGCTATTTTGATAGGTATCCCATTGAAAATTATGTCAAAAAGCTGTGATTTAAGGATGTTGGCAAACATAGTGAGAAGAAGAGAGTTTTGGCAGGAAGATCGAAGAAACATAACATTGAGGGATTTCGACTAAGAACAGTTTTATTAAAAACCCCTGTTGCCCCAACTGCACCCATAAGCCCAAATTGTGAAATACTTAAAATTTGCATTAAAATTACATAAAAATTAATTAATTAATAATTGCAATAAAATTTGATGCATGTGAGGGTTTTAACTGTCAAATATGATATGTGAAAAGTCTCTGCATGCGTACACAAACCACAATTCAGGAAAAGAAACGAAGAGGGATTAATGAAAAATTATGTCTAGAATTGTTCATAATTTAATAAATGCAAATTTTGTAAAAATTTGGGGAAAAAATCTACAAAAAAAAAAAAACAGAAAATAGCTGCTCTAAGCGAATTTTTAGACGCCAAATGAATTCAGTTATGACGATGAAGCAACTTCGATTAGACGACCAATGTTCAAAAAGCCTTACTCTAACGAAGCAACACCGAATGTTATGTTCATCTAAAGTTCAGTTTTTCAAGAAGGTTTAAAGCTGAATTTATTACAACAAAGAATTGGGCGTGTGCATATATAAAACGTACCAGATAAATCTACATACGGTAATCCTGTATACCGAAGGTCAATGACTGAGAGAGATAACGAGATATACATACATATGTATGTATGTATTTGTTGAGTTACTCAAGATTTATGAAAAATAAATATCTATTTTCCAGTTGGATACTTACAAGGTATATAGAAATATGTATGGCCACCCATATCAAAAACAATTAATGGAATCAGATAACTGCGACCTCCATTAACAAGCTGGACAATTTCGGTCTGACCAATAAAGTTTAGATTCTTTGAGCTTCGAGGCATCGTTGTTGCAGGAAATGAGATCGCCCATAAATTAGCAAAAAAACGTCCTGAAATTTAACACAGTTACTTGCTGTTTCCATTAACGTACAGCCATCGCAGGAGATCTGTCAGTTTCATCGCGAGCGAAATGCTCATCGCAGAGTAATTTTAGTACTTAGGCATTTTTATCGCAGAAAATTTCATTTCAAAAGGTGCTTACGATACATGACGAAAATTTTTGTGTTCTCAAAAATGGCTTACTTCATGTGGTTTTGAGCATATATATATTATAGAAAAGCACAACTTCATCAAAATTTAAAGTCAAAACAAGCTGCGAAAACAGCAGATAGAGGTCAGTCAAATTGTCATAGGTTATACGTTTCACATATGATCATATTATAGGTTAACTACTAGAAAACTCGCTCGGTGGCACTGGAGTTGAGGAATTAATAAGAGTCGTATATATTGACTGATTTCGTCCAAATTAGCAATGTGAGTCGCCTGTATGATGAATTCATTTTCTAAAAATAGACCCGCTGTGTGGCGCTTGAGTCGAGATATGTATTTATAAAATCCGTATTTTTTATACAACCTGGCTGAAATTCATAATGCATACTCATTTCATGATAAGCAATGGTTTTGCAGAAAAGGGACTTAAGGGTGGCACTGCAGCCGTAATATATAGAAACGCCATGTGTTTGGTCTGCTTTGGCCCTATGTTGATTTTATACGACTTTACTTTTCCGATGGCTAAATGAAATTTTTTAAGCGCACCCTTGTCTGACGCTCTCATACACCTTTAATGCGATCTTGCATTTACCTCCGATTAACGAAATTGCTCGAAGCCAGTTCATAAATATTAAGACGAATTGTAAAAGTGGCGAATTTGAAGCAAAGATTCGACCATATCCGTCCAAGTAGGAATACGGTTGGTATATTAATGGCTTCATTTGAATGATATTCAAGAGATAACACCACTTATTTAGCCAATGTACGGGAACACTTTTCATCCTGGGGGCAGCGAGGATTCTGGGCCTATTCCTATAATAGAAAACTTAATCTTAGGTTTAGGTTAGAAGGACTTTTATTGGCTTACGAATCGGACCAATGTTGTAGTTGTAAAATCAAAGAAGATTATGCACGCTTGGCACACATCTCACAGGTGGAAATAAGATCGTCGGCAAAGCTCATCACATCGAAAGGGACTAGTATGGCATCAAAGCGCTACTGTTTTTTGAAGGGATTCTGCTCTTTAGTTTTTTTAACTTTACAGACCGTTTGTTTCTCGTAAACGCTTTTTCACATTGGCACTCGCAAAAGTTCTTACTAGGCGTCCCGCGAATCAAACGGGCATTGGCTAGTGTATCTATAATGTGTGATTGCTATTTCAGTTATACTGCATTTCATAACACTTCATTCCCGTTTCGGGGGAACTCTCTTGCAAAGTTGTAAAAAGTACTAAAAGCGAGGGTGAAGCCGATTACCCTGCTGACTATAGCTTCGCATGAGAAAAACGAAGAAGTCAAAAACGTTATAAAAGGCGAATGAAATAGGGAATGAAAACTTTTATTTAACTTTTTGAATGAAAAAAGAAACTATCTTAAAACGCGCTAAGAATGTGGCAAGCCGCACACACATACATACATACATACTTACATATGTGCGAGTGGACATCTAAAGAAAAGGAAATTACGATATTCCTAACGGAAAAACAACTTTTGCCTGCAGCTTTATTGCAGAGTTTGCTAAGGTTTACGCAAAACTTTTTACTGCTATGTGGTTATGTGTGTCTGAGAGTACTTTGGGTGAATAGCGTTTAGTGAACAAACAACAAGTAATGGACAATGGCTATAATATTGGAAAATTTT